TGATGGTGTCCTGTTTTCTCACAGTTTGAGATGCTGACGGGAACGCTGCCGTTTCAAGGAAAAGACCGGAAAGAGACGATGACCATGATCCTCAAGTAAGACACCTTACACTCCTATCCGATCCCCACCCTGCAGCTTTTATTTGAGCTCCCTGTACATCCGAGAAGAGACGGAGAGAGAGAGAGAAAGTACAAGGCGAGTCAGCCCAGGGGAGGATTGTTATTAGAGGAGACAGAGTGCAGCACTCAGGAGGAAGAGGAGGATGAGGACTGGATGGACTGAGGAGAGAGATGATCTCAGAATGTGCTGATAGCTCTTCATAAAAGAGAGAAAATAATCACGTTGCAGTCGGTGAGAATTAAAGGAAATATTAACCCCTCCTTCTTCCTCTCTCGCTCTCGTTTGACTCTCGGTATCCGCCCGGGGGGAAAACTGCTGAGCAGACTCTGCAGAGTGCTGAGTGTGCTTCCTGTGTGACATCGACGTGTTTCTGTCTAGTCTTTCAGATGCTGGGTACACAATACAGAGCATTCGATATGTTTCCCTCTCCGTTTCATCCCCCCTGCTGCCTTTCTCTGTGTCCATCGCAGGGCCAAGCTGGGAATGCCGCAGTTCCTCAGCTCCGAAGCTCAGAGTCTCCTCAGGAACCTTTTCAAGCGAAACCCCGGCAACAGATTAGGTAAAACCTGCACACACGAGGCACGTTGAGAGGGTGTTAAATGGGTTTGTGGTTTCACAAATATCTGAAGATTTGTATCCACCAATCAGTGGAAGCATTTTCTTAGAATAAGTTTATTTATTAAAGCACCCAGTGAGATTAAATAATGACAAAAATGGGAGTTCTCAGTTTAGAGCTTTCTGTAATCCTGGAGATACAAGCCTACATGTTTAATCACCCCATGTGACCTGACCTGGCACCCTGTGTCACCCTCTTTGCATGCCCTCCGTCTCTGTCCAGTATATTCGCTGCCCCTCTGTCACACATCCAAACCACCTCCGCCTCATTTCTAACCCCATTCATCCTCGTCACTCACAAATAAAATCTGAGCACCTCCAGCTTTTTGTCAGTTACATCACAGCCCCGTCTGAGCCCAGTTTGAGCTTCAGCAGGTGTCTCGACTGTGTCTGCATGCATAAATGCATAAATGCACTGTTTAGTTGTTGTTGATTGGCTGATTAAGATGCTTAATGAATAATTACAATCCAGCGATTGAGCCGTGACTTTTGAGGCTACACGTGTCACATGCTCGGCAGGTGGGAATGTTTAATGTTTCACCGCTGGTGGCACCAAACACAACCCGAGGGCCTCCGGAGGCCACAGGTTCATATTTACTGCATGCAACACCTGCATCTGTTACGCTGTGTAATTCACACAGCGTAACATTCAGCCCTTTACTGTGTTTGTGTTTTTCTGTGGAGATTAGCTCCAAACAAAGTCTCAGCGGGTCTCATGCAGCCTGTGAAAATGTGATTACAGCAGCGTCGAGCTCACTGTTGGTGCTGTTTGTTTCAGGAGCTGGGCCGGATGGAGTGGAGGAGATCAAGAGGCATCATTTCTTCAGCACCATCGACTGGAATGTCAGTTTCTCCTTTATTGAAAAAACTCTATCTGCTCTAACGACGGCAGAGTCGTCTTTGGTTATGATTCTGTCTGTCAGTGTGTTTCCTCGTCCTTCTGATGTTCCTCGTATTTCCTCTCGCTGCAGAAGCTGTACCGCAGAGAAATCCACCCTCCTTTCAAGCCAGCAGCGGGGCGACCTGACGACACTTTCTATTTTGATCCAGAGTTCACAGCTAAGACACCCAGAGGTACAGGCTGTCACTCTACCTCCTCCTCCTGCCCTTCACGCTGTGCAGAGCTGAGCTGCATTGCCGTATTAACAGCTGTTTCTCTGTGTGAACCAGACTCGCCGGGGGTCCCGCCGAGCGCCAACGCCCATCAGCTGTTCAGAGGGTTCAGCTTTGTGGCCATAACGGAGGAGGAGACGCAGCCGCTGCCCAATGCTATCGTACAGGTACAGGCAAACGCCTCGGAGGCAGAAATAATCCAATTAACTGGGCTAACCCTCTATGGCGTGGACGCAGGCGACGAGCACAGCACGCTGTCTTCACACTCCACCCTGGAAAATTTCATTCACACATTTGTATCTTCCTTTCTGGCAGAAAGCAGCCAAAAGCAGATTACGTAGTTTTCTTTCTAAATAAGAACCTCGTACCTTTATCACAGACAGTAGATTAAGTCATGGATGAGTCATTTTTTAAGTGCTTTAAATGAAACAAGAACATTTTCCAAAATCTCCTGAGAAACGCATCCAGACGCCACATCTCTGCACTCTCACATCTCTGCACTCTCACATCTCTGCACTCTCACATCTCTGCACTCTCACATCTCTGCACTCTCACATCTCTTGTAATCAGTCTGTTTGTCACCTCAAAATAACAATAATCATCTAATATAAGGATTAATAATCAAAGCATCAGGTTCCTGTGGGTGAAACTGTTTGTAATTAACGCTTAACGCACAGCATGAGCACGAGTGCCGCCGCCGCTGTCGGGCAGAAGTCTAAATCAGGCCTGAGTCGTTATGACGACTCACATCTGTTTACATTTTCCTGTGCAGCAACTTCACAGAAGCACGTCCCAGTTCGCAGACGCCTACGAGATCAAAGAGGACATCGGAGTCGGCTCCTACTCCATCTGCAAGCGCTGCATACACAAAGGAACCGGCATGGAGTACGCAGTGAAGGTGAACAGCAGCTCAACATCTGCTTTTGTGTTTTTAATACACGCAGGGCGACGGCGGGTTTGGAAGGTTTCTGGAAAGAAGCTGATGATGTTCTGAAAGATGATTTCTATCACAGATATTTATCGATTCTTCATATTTCTGTGACCATGTGAACGTGGTTGAGCTTTTAGCTATTTTAGTTTCGTTTGCCGTCTCTGACGCTCACAGTTTACTGTGTCGGTATTTTTGACATTTAAGGCGTAAATTAGTTTGAAACAGCTTAAAATGTACGGTAATTATACAAAACGTTTGAAACGTAACAGATCTCAGCTCCAAACTAAAAGTTGGCTTCAGATTTTGTTTTGTGCTGCTGGCTTGGAGACATTTCAGGATATTCAAATACTGTTGCTGTTGGTGATAATGTGCATATTTGTCAAAAATGGGAATAAATTAACATAATTTACACTGTTTTTCTGATTTAATGCCACGATAAGTGATGCATTATCTAAGTAGAAACCGTTGTCATCCTGTCCTGTAAACGACTAAGTACACTCCATAATTCAGTGGCTTGTAAAACCTTTAGCAGCAATAACTTGAAGCACATTTTTCTGTTTGACAGAAATCATGGCTGTGGAGAAACGTAGCCCACTCTTCTCTGCAGCACTGCTTCAGTTCATTGAGCTTTGCAGACATTCGTGTATGCACAGCTGTCTGGACGCCCTGCTGCTGTGCCTGCGATCATCTTACTGTTGCATGATCCAATTTGATGTTGATCTGACTGGAGTAGAAAAGCCAGTCTGACAAGTTCCTGCTTTTATATCGCTGATGATCGAGCACCTGCCTGCTGCTTCCTCTCTTATTTCCTTTCCTCAGTTTTTCTCAGGACTCCATAATCCTGCAGAAACTATGTGTCAGCGTGTGGGATTTAAAAGATCTTAAACTTTCAATAAAAACACTTTATATTCAAAGCACTGTCTCTGTGGCAGATTATCAACAAGTCCAAGAGAGACCCGACGGAGGAGGTGGAGATCCTGCTGAGATACGGGCAGCACCCCAACATCATCACCCTCAAAGACGTGAGTCACTCCCTGCAGAGTTTTTAATTGCTCTAAATCTGCTGCTAAACTTAACCAGGCTCTTCAGTCTCATGGTTATTTTCTTATTTAGCATTAAGTGCAGCTCTCCCATCAAGCCCAAAGGTATCCTGACATATTTATAAATATATTGTTTCATACTTAAAGAACCACGTCTACACCAACATTTGATATTAAGCATCACATCAGTTATAGGAACACAAAGCATCAGTGTTGTT